GCCCACAGGCACCAGGGTCACCCCAGGAGCTGAGCCCTCCTGCCCGGCAGCCGCCTCCTGCCAGGCCTTCGGCCTCGGCTCTTGACAACAAAATGGGGAAGCACAGGGAGCGTGGGGCCGATGGCCCGGGTGGTCCTGGCTGGGGTTTATCCATCAGCTGGGAGGAAAAGGCCAAGAGCAAGTTGCAGTTGAGGGACTCAGGCTTCTCCTTGTTTGTCTTTAAAAGAAAAAATTAATTTGCCAGCCCTGTAAATAATTAATGACTAATTCCTCAGGAGCTCTGAAGTACTCATAGAAACGCTTATATTTGTTAAGTTGTATTTTTAGCTGCTGCTACTTGGAGGAGAACAAGCGCTTTTCCCTCATTCAGTGGTTCTGTAAATTGTGGCTGTCTCACATCCCCCTAAGGTTTTTTTTTCTGCCTGTTTGACATACTTAGTTCCTAACGGTCAGGTTTTTATAACCCAGAAGCCTAAAGTGCCATCCCTGAGTGCATATTCAACACCATCTCAAGCACAGAGCGAAGCAGCAGGATCAGCCCTGAGGGCTGTCCATGGGCGACAGGGGTGGGAACGGTGCCCCGCATCCAGCCCCACTCCTGCCTCCTCCTGCGCCCCAGACTCGGCTTTTCCACCCACGAGATGGGTGGGTGCCACCCCAGCAGTGCCAGGGCTGGAGGAGGGCAGCGGCAGGGGAAGGAGGAGGCAGTGGGTTTGGCACAAGAGGTGTGAAGGCGGCGGGCAATGCCCTCGGCAGCGTGGAGCAGGAGGGATGCTGTTTGGGGTCACAGGGGCTGCTTGAAACCCTCCATGAAACAGAGCCTTCTCCCTGTCAAAACGTGCCTGGTAAAGCCAGAGCCCACCCCTAAGAGTGCGACGTACCTGAGTTAGCATCCAGGTCCCCTTCAACCGGGCAGCAGCACCCACTGGGTGCAAAGTGTAGCATTGCTGCAGCCTCTGCTTCCTCCTCTTCCTCCTCCTCTTCCTTCTCAGGTATATGCTGGGCTATGCTGGGACCCACCCCCCCAGCTGGGGAACCGCCGCCTCCCTCCGCCCACTGCCGAGGGATGGGTTCTCAGCCCCGCAGCCCCCCCAGCCCCTCCGCCTGTCGCATGGGCCCCCCGAGCAACCAGAGGGATCCACGATCCCGCAAAGTTAGGATGGGTTTGGGTCTCCCCCCTTTGCTGGGAAGAGAAATCCTTGCTTGGCTGCCTGGATTTTGCACCTGCCCCACGCCAAGAGCTGCTTGGCTTCTCGCAGGACGAGCTGTGTCCTGGGACATAGGGGAGGGCCGGGGAGGTGCGATGGGGTGGTGGTGGGGCTCTCGGGGTGCTTCGAGGGCTCTCAGGGCTGGCTTGGTGCGTGGGGCTGTGTCTGCGCCCGTTCTCCCCGGCATCTTGCCCCAGTTGCGGCTGGTCATCGCGGAGAAGGGGCTGCCCTGCGAGGAGCGGGACGTCAGCATGCCCCTGATGGAGCACAAGGAACCCTGGTTCATGCGGCTCAACCTGGGGGAGGAGGTGCCCGTCATCATCCACAGGGACAACATCATCAGCGATTACAACCAGATCATCGACTACATGGAGAAGAACTTCACGGG